GATCCGTCAAATAGGTCTGGATCGGCGCCGATACCGATCCGAATATCGGTATCGGTGCATCTCTAATTTAAAGTACCTTAATTTAAATGGCCTTTATGTTCTTACATTTAGCCCAGGCTCCCTTAAGTCCGACAAGTTATCCAGTTAAGCAAAGAATCCTGCTTTTTGAAACATGCCCCAATTCTAGCCAGATTCATTATTAGTCCTTGTTTGTCAGTGCGCAGTAGTGATGCACAGGTCAACCCATAACCCGTGGGTTGGGGTCAGCTTACCAGAAAATATCATAGGTGTGCGTCAGATTAGTGACAAAGCAGCATTCAGACTAAGTGACAGATAACTGACAGCAATGTTGCGTGCAACCAGACTCTCTGAATTGTGGGCAATAGGCGAGGCTGTGATTCGGCACACAACTTAAATTCAGGCACACAACTTAAATTCAGGCACACAACTTAAATTCAGGCACACAACTTCAATTAAGCTGAATCTTTGGGTGCAAGTTAAATAAAAACTACATAAACAGAAAAACCTATTCCCAAACATATACTCTCAATTTATTGGAAGCATTTCAAATGGCGGACACATTTTGACAATAAACTAAACATTTTGACAATAAACAAATAATCGTCAGCATCTTACCAAACTGAAGATGGATTAGTGCCAAACAGCTGAAAGGAATTAACTCTTAATTTAGGAGATAATATTCAAGCACTAGAAAAGAGAATGGTCACTGCAAACAGAAATCTACCTATTATATCACATCTGCCTCTTATTCACCCTCCCTGAATTCAACACCAGGCCAGCAGGATATTCACAGCCATAGAATCAGGTGGGAGTGACTCCTAAAGATGTATATACTATGCTGTAAATGGCGGGTACAGAACAAAACAGAAAGGCAGCAATTCAACAGGCCACCATGCAATGTTCAATCTAACCCTGAAGACTATTAATGCCCTCAAAGGTTAATGTTCATCTAAACAGCATAAGGAAACTAATTCACAAAACGTGAGGGAAATTCAATGCATTTGTCCGGTTACACTGAGTAACAAGTTATAGCCCGACAGCAGACGGCGTTTCG